TACTAGGTCCCTTCCGACCCTAAATCTATGAAACTATTAAAAGGAATGTGCCAAGCTAAGAAATAAAGCTGATGCTTTTTTCTTTTAACTGAACACATCTATATTTTACATAAGCATACTAGACTATTAATGTAAAATTTTTTCTCCCAGCTTTCAATTAAAAATTTAAATGCATGCCAAGCCAGGGTCACTAAAATTTCTGCTTGGTTTCACTTCAAAAGTTCTTAAAAAAGGTAAAACATTACTTGTTAAAAAAAAGTAATGGAAACATTTCAATTCAATTTCAGCTCTGTAATTGATTTATTTTTATTAATTCATGCAGAAAAAAAACTGTTTTCGGCAGACTGTCACCCAAGAGCGTCTCCTTAAGGTGGTTTTAACCCCCACCGAATACAGTAGTTTTCTCCAATATCTGAGTACTGTCATGTCCTGTCTTTCTAACATCTCATGGAAGCCCTGTTTGATCATTGATCAATGACTGCCTAGGTCATAAAGATCTTTTTCTTTGGACAGGTAAGCTTCTGATATTTAGGGGCACGTGCCATGCAGTAAGACCCATATCCTGTTTTTGGAAGGCAGAACATAGGAAAAAGACTTTCCAGAGTTGTGGTCAACTGTGTGACACAGGACAAGACCTCCTGGTAACAGAGTATCCAGGAAGTGTAGCATCCTAGGAAACAGTCTGAGCGAGATGCCAAGAACTTCCTTGTGTGGCAGGAGAGCAGCAACACTAGGTCCCAAACTGTTGCAAGAGCAGAAGCAAACTTGCTTCTTTATATTAAATAATTCTTTATGTAAGTCTCTCTAAATAATAAAAAAGTGTTGTTTTCATGCTACAAACCTCACCAAGATACTTTAAACTGCATGTGGCACCTCACTTGCCCCAAGCCAGCTCAATTGCTCCTTCAGGCACAAGCTAGTGAGCTTAGTCAATAGCTATTGCAAATTCCTTAGTGGCTGAGAGGGTTAACACACTGGACTTTCTGCTTGCTGATCTACAGAAAAGCAGCATCCATTTGAGAGCAGTGTCTCTGTCATTCTATTTCAGAAAAGAAAAAGTAATCCTTCTGCTTAAGACACACACCCTCATTTTGGAAGGCTGATTTTGGGGAAAAGGGAGTATGTGGAATGCAAGTAAGGCATAGCCTTATATTCAGGACCCATCAGAAGCAAACCTTTTCCTGTCTTACTGTCTTCTTTAGGCTGCCATTTACTTCATCACTTCAGACATTTATTAATGACAACAACAACAACACTACATATTACAGTAGTCTTCATCCAAGGATTTAAAAGTACCCGTAAAAACTGCATCACCTATCTGAGGTAGTCAAATAACATTATCCTTTTTATAGATGGGAAAACAAAGGCTAATGGGTGGATAGTTGGAGGCATGGAGCACCCATGTCCTACTGCCTCCAACAGGCACTAGGCATTCTCAGCACCTCTAAAAATTCAGCCCACATTCCTTCACCTTATTCTGCATCAAAGTGGATCAACCACTAAAGTGGGAATAGAATCCAGGACTCCTGATGCTGGCCTCTGCTGTCCAAGCAAGGCTCTCTCTCAAGCCAAAAATTCTCACAGAAACAAATTGCACTTTACTGTAGGAGTCTTATCTGTATCTCAAACATGGGGCTGCTTCCTTTTCAGCCACTTAAACTAGCTATCATTTGTTTGGTAGCACCACAAGTGCTCCTGTACCTCTGACTTCAGCCTAAAAAGGACTAGGTGCCCTCACTTCAATGAGGTACAACAGCAATACCATAAGCAGGGAGCAACTTTATATATTTCTGAAGTGGTATGGCAGATGCATACAAATAAAGCAGGAAGAAGGGCTGACATTCCTCTGAAATCTCTTGGGACACCACACCTAGCATTCAAGGTTAGGAAGATGAACTGGAAATAACTGACATAAGGGGACTAGATCTTACCGGTCTCGGAGCCTTGGAGGGTAGGACTCTCCCTTGTAGGGCAGCCAGGCGGTCCTCCATCTCCTGTGTAGATGGAACAGGTTTGCAGGGATCATGCTTCAATGCTGCAAGCCTAGATTCTATCTCAGCCTGAGATGGGATGGACTCTAAAATTCAGACCAAAATGTTTTTCTTTTACTGAAAGCAAATGGGTTCATCTCATCTGAATCGCTTGCATTTTATTTTTCTTGTTAGAATAAGGGATCCAGACATCTAAGCAAAGTCTCTCTCATCCTATTAATTACACCCAGAGAGATTATGAATGTATAAGATATTGGCATCAAAGTACAATCTACTGCTTTCTGATGAATGCCCCCTCCTACATATACTTCAACCCATAAGGTGAAGGCAGCTGGAAGATTAGCAACTTCACATGAGCTCACAGGACCAATACACCTACAAGGAAGAAAGTGAAATGAACACAGCACCCTCATGTTTCAGGGAGCAAAGTGTGCTGCTGTCTATGCACTGTAAGAACGCAGGACTGGAAGGGATCTCCTGGGTCACTGACCCCAGTCCCCTGACACTACAGACACCACTCATATAACCCCAGTCAAAGACAAATCAAGCTCCATCTTAAAACTAGTTAAGTTTCTTTCCCTATGAGAGACTGGTTTCAGACCCTCCCTGGGACCATGTGTTGAAATCAGCTCTCTCTTCAGTTCCTGTGAGGCAAGATTGACCAGAATGGGATCCCCTGGAGCCCTGGTGCAGCCCAGACAAACTGCTCCCGTGTGTAACCTTTGGCATAATGCTATGGCCACAGTCATAGCAGTGTGCTGGCCCCCAATTTGTCTCGTTTCTCTTGCTATCATGCACAAAAATAGCCCAAGACAAATATAAACAAGCAAATTATTTTACTGTGTGAGATACTTAGGTAAGAACTGCACTGAGCAAGTCAATGAAAACTCAGGAGTCCAAGACAGCTAAGCCAAGGATTTTAACCCAGGTAGCCAAAAGGTAATGCCACATGCTGTGGTAGCACAGGCAGGGCCTGGCTTCCATGGCCAGCTTTCTCCTACCAATTCCCAGGCACACAGACTAGAATACCAATACACTGGTAGTTGTAATAGCATCATCCACTGCTCCTATTCTGCATCGCACAAGCTGCAACGAAACCACTGCTTCCCCACTGAGAGTCTCCGCAGTCCTGTGACACTCACTGGGCTTTGTGTCCTCCTTGAGCCTCTCCAGCCTCTCAGCAATAGCTCTGTCCTCTTTTGACAGCCCCTGATATTTCGGATCTGCTGGGCCTTGGAGTTTTGTGGGTCCCTTTGGCTGCCTCTTGGGCTGGTTCTGCTTTGCTTCAAGAGCTGCTACACGCCTGGGACAAGGAGGGAAAAAGCAGCAGAGCTTGGAACTCAGAAGATGAATTCTGAAAAGATCTTCTGTGAGCCACTCTGTAACAAAAGTTATTTGGGAAGAGATGCTATAAAAGAGAACAGGGCAAAACGCTTTTATATTCCTGCTCCTGACTTCAATAGGCTAGATTTAATTCTGGGGCATTAGGGGGAAAAGATTATTGAACAGCAGCAACATAAAGTGGTCAAAAAGTGAATGGCAGAGTTGGCAGTGAAATGCAGAAATTTATGCTTTTGTATCACAGGTGAAATCCAGGCAGAAGGCAAGGTAGAGGTGCACTTTATAAAAACCAGCCGAATCAGAGATGCATAAACTTAAAGTTGAATCCAGCTAGACCATAACAGCCAGAAGTCATTAGTATCTAGAAAACTGTTTTACCAGCATTGCACAACAGCTGCTGGTCTCAATCCAGTCCTAAGCAGTCCATATCCAAGACCCTGCCTTCTGGCAATTTCAGTAGAAAAGACAAGGACCAAGGGGAAATGCAATGAAATAACCAAATGAGCAGAACTCACTTTTTGTAGTTCTCTGGTGGGGACCATCTTGCTGTGCTGCTTTGAGACACCCCTCTGGGAAAAATAAATAAATCCCAAATGTGAAGCACAGTACAGAGGCACATGTCTGAACCACATGCTTCTATCACATACCCTCTCTTGTTCAAACCTATGGGAACAGAATGTATGGTTCAACTGCATTCATCAGCAGCTGCATCATACAATTCCTTTCAAAAACCAAACCAGATGGCATCTGCCCAGTTTCTGAAAAGGATTATGTGGAGGTTGCATATAACAGCAGGAAACTGGACTCAGTCTTCTTACTTTTTATTCCCATCTGTACTGTATCTGCACAAGATTGACTTAGTTTAAAATGGCTATCAATGTTACAATATAAAGCAGTGGTTTTCAACTTTTTTTGGTCGGTGTACCCCCAGCAGCCAGTGGAGAAGCATGGAGTCCCTCACCAGCTGCTTGAGGAGTGGCAGGGTGGGGGCCCCCGCATGGTATGCAGCAGCAAAACTGGAAGTACCAGCAGTGCACAGCACCGGCAAAAACAAAAGCGCCAGCTGCATGTGGTATGTAATGCCACAATGTGCTGGTGCCCCCACCCACTGTTTCTCTGTGCTGCTGCTGTATACCCTCTGGGGCCTTCCCAAGTACCCCCCTGGGGTATGCATACCCCTGCCGGTTGACACCACCCCCCCCCCCAAA